AGCATTGGTTCTCTCTCCTCTGTGATGGACTTGAGACCTGTCCAGGGGATACCCCTTCCCTCATACAGTGACACCCATGAGTCGTAACAGAAGAAGCGGGTAAAGAMAACGGATAGACCACCCGTCATCAGGCCTTGTTACAACAGCCGTCCAAACACGTCTTATAGCCTCATTCATAAGACAGCTCAGTCTGGGACTGATGCATGCTCTGTCCTCCTCCGAGCTTTCAGAAAAAACATGAAGGCAGAAAGGTGATCCCCCAAGCGAGGTAGTATCAGAGCCAGGACCCAGCCCGGCAGGATGACTTGTGAAAAAGCAACCCACGGTTCCACGCTAAGAAAATGATGATGAGCTGATGACATCAGTGAGCAACCGCAGGATGAATCAAGAGATTTATCACAGAGGGACTTAAAGACAACACAGAACAGCAACTTTGTAGTTATTTAAACAAATATTRAACCACAGGATCACTAAAGTAAGTTTATTCAGTTTGTTTTGTTTGATACAAGTTCATGATCGTCACATAATAAATACGTCACGGCCCACTTCAGCCGAGCTGAGATCTGCTCCACACCTCTTGGTTCTGCGCTGCTGGGTTCATACTTGTGAGCGGGTCCTGGCCGGCTTCTGTGATTTTACGAACGACTTTTGGACCGGTCTGCGCGGCGATTTTGCAGAACTGTCTTATAAAAGAGGTCAGTCATCAAGAACGTGCCCAACACCTGTGTTCAGACAGAAAGTGTGGATGTCTTTAATGCTTGGTGCTCATTGGTGTGGTTCAACTTGAACGACCTGAACCTTCACGGTGTGTCGTCTTTGTTTTCAACACTGGGCCGTCCTGCCGTCTCTGGCTCGTACACAGAGGTCATCAAACGGTCAAACATGCCCGTCACTGGTCAGCATGTGTACCATATCAGACCTCCTGGCTCCATCTGGGTGTTTAAATCTGTTGCTCAGTGAGTGTAGCTCGTTCATATTCGTTTCTCAGGGTAGAGCAACATGACCTGGTCGAGAGAGGCCACATTCTTGTAGTTCAATGGTTTAAACTAAAAATGGTGAAGCACAGTAGCTTCTGAGCCAAACTGCTCTTTGTTTTCACAATTCTGAGTGAAGATAAAACTAAAGAACAGCTAAATTTGGTTGCGTATTGGAGAAAGTAATTCTAAAAACCAACGTTAATTTCTTCTTTTCATTTTTGT